ACGACGCAGACGGAATGAAGACGACGATGTTGTTGGTGGGTCATGTCTGAACTGCCCTCTTTTCCTGCATCCTTGCATACTGTGTGCAGTGTTAGCCCACACGGTGTTCACTTAAAACTACTCCCCGTTACAATATCTAGGTTTATTATATTAGTATTTCAGTGTATCTTGCATCGGCACTCTTTAGTTGGCGCGGGAATGTGCGTGTACTTTTTACTAATAAGCCAAGTTGGTAGTCTGCTTTTTTTGCATTTCCTCGCATCGCCATTCTTGTTGTTCATTGTGGACTTACTGAAGTCACTGCAGATACCAGAGGAAAGTTCCACTAAAATAACGCAGTAGGGCTTCAGCAGGGAGGAAAAGCGCTGTCTGCTGCTGAGAGATGGTTTAGCGGGGACTTCATCCTTCGGTGGGGAAAGAACTGGCCGAAATGAACAAAAGACCTGTGGGATCGTCCATAGCGTGCACCATAGTTCCCATAGTGTGCCGAGCTGCAAGAAAAAGGCCAGCCACCTGTCAATCATGGTCAGACACGATGCACCCGTTTTGTATTTTACACAACGTGTGATACAGGTCGTACCGTGCTTATCAAGAGGTTTTATGCAGAAAGATCCAGGCGGAATTAGAGTTATTCTTTACCCTTTTTGATGCCAGCACACGATCATAGGAGCAGGTCATTGAGCAGGTCGTTGAATTCAGTCTGCAGAAATATAGACTTACTGAATGTACAACAATCGCCTTATTTATGCTGCACAGTAGACTCCCGTTGGAAGAAACCAGAAGGGACCAGGAAGATTTGCTTCTTTTCTCAGGAATTGCGTTTGCCCTAAGAGACAGAAGTGCATAATTCAAGTACAATGTCAATCATACTTGAGGCTGTCCTATCGAAGCAAGGGCTGGATGGTCATGAAGTGTAGGCATGATCTGTTCGTCATGTTTGTCGTATATTCATATTGTACTATGGGAATTTCGGCATATGCTACAGTTAACAGGCTATTGTCATCTTTTTGACACGCTTTCATAAGCCCGTGAACCGCTGTGGTATACCCGTTTGTCTTCATTATGTACCTTGCAGAGAACCTTTCAGAGACCGTTTAAGCGACCATTTATTTATGAATTTATGGCTGCGTGACTATAAATTGGCTTCGATGCTGGCTGAAGACAGCCAGCCACAAAGTGAATTTCATTCCTACGCCAGATGTTGCATTTATCAGCAGACTTCGAGATAAAGAAAAGCAAGGTAAATGACACTCAAGGCTCGTTTTTAATGAATGTATCACTTCCGGCGGTTCTTTTTTTGGGGGCTACCGTATTGCGTTTTGGCCACAAAACGGTTTGCGAGGCCGTATGCGATTTCTAACGGGAAACAAAACGAATCAAATGCTAAAGTTATCGAAACCAAGCTTATTTCATCAATCTAACTCTTTTCTTTTATTTCCATTCATAGAATAAACGAATGAGTGATTTGAAAACTATATGTTGCTGCACAGTTTTATATTCTAAACGAATTCACTTATATAACAAGACTCCGAATGTTTCACGGCCGATCCACCTTTGGTGAGTGGCGCCAGGTAATTGAAGGTCAACCATGCAGCCAACGTGATATCGTAATCGGGCCATGCTCGCATCGCCTCCTCAATCACCACGCTCTCTTGGTTCCTACATGTATGAAGCAACCGAAAAGAAAAGCAAAAAAAAAAACGGTTATGCGTACGACACTAGTTGTTTTTTAAACTCTCTCAGAAAATGCTTACGTAGCACAAATTTAGTTTTAATGTGTCGTCCAAGCCGAAATTTACTATTTCAGGCCCAGGGATTTCAGCTTAAATAATCAATATTCGAGGTCAGTAAACGAGGACCTGGTAAAAACATAGTATAGTTCCACCTGAAAAGTTAGTGCAGCACGTGTCCTACATGTGGTGCCGTCTTTGAACACACCACAAAGCTATAGGTCAAAATTTTGCACGATAACATTAATAAGCAGCGACGCTTGCTTCCTTGCTCGTGTGTTGAAATTTTGGCTATTACCCACTAAGGGGGATTGACCATTGGACCAGTGGATGATAAACCAGTGGATGAGATAACAGGAACTTATTTTTAGGAGCGAAGCTGCTTAAGGCATGGGTTCTGCGTCCCCTGTATGTAGCCACCTCTCGTTTAGTTCTTGCAGTGTTCACTAGATGGCAGTACCATCCCCTGTTTGAGGTGGTTTCCTGTTTTGAGGCTTTGAGGTGGTAGAAATAAACAGAGAGGTGCATAGGTGGGGTGGTTTTCAACGAGGCAGAATTCACTTCGATGGGTAGCTAGGTCATGAGGTGGGTTGGCGATTTGCAGAACGCGCAGTAGCTTTTTTGGGGGGCACGCGGGCCTTTCGGGGTGCACGATAGCTAGTAACGAGGAAAACAACCAGAGAGACGCTTTCACAGATAGTATGGGCAGATAGGATTCCAGAGTGGCACTAGTATCTAAGATAGGTAGAGTCCAGGGTAGAATAGACGTATCCACGAACGCCGAGCCAATTGAGACATAGGGTATATTAACATGCAGGTGGCAGGAACAGGCTAAAGTGGAAGAGATAGAAGAACAGCTAAGACAGGAGAGGCCGATGGTATACGGTTTTGTAGAAACACATCTTAGGGACATAGAACAACCTCCTAGCAATCTGGACTACGCGTGGGAATATTGCAATAGAACAGAAGGCAACAGAAAGGGGGCTGGTATTGAGCATTCATTCATAAAAGTACAGACTGGCAAATGGTCAATCAGGAGTGCAAGGAACATTTATGGCTAAAAGGGAAAGTGGCAGGGCAAATGACACTTTTCGGTTGGCGTACCTGTGGACGGGAGCAAAGGCCAGAGAGAAAAACCAGGCCCTAGTAGAGTGTATATCAAAGGACATTGAGGAGTTAGGAGGAGGCTGCGAGATAATTATACTAGGAGATATGAATGCGCACATAGAAGATATAGATGGATATACCGACCCAACAGGCAAAATGATCATAGATATGTGTGAAAGGCATGCTTTGATCATTTGCAACAGTACCGAGAAGCGTGAAGGGCAAATAACATGGGAGGTAGGAAGGCTGCAGTCGACAATAGATTACGCACTGATGTCACATGGGACGTATGATAAGCTCAGGGGAACGCACATAGATGAAGGCGGCTCCAGAAGTCTGGGTAGTGATCACAAACGTATTGTTGTATTTGTTTCGTTTGTAACGCCAGCAAAACCAGCTGCGCGCGCACCATTTCGTTTGGGCCCTGTGCGCCTTCATTCTCCCTTTCCCCCTCCCTTCACCCTCTCCTAATGCCAATGTATATAACCACGCTGCGGACAATAAACGCTGTTCGTTGACTGCCCGACCATCGTCCTTGCTGCTTCGCTGCGCGCGCATAAGTTACAACAGTGGCGACGAGCCCGGAAACCGCCCATGCTGCCGTGAAAGTTGAAGCCGACGGCCTGCCGCAACAAGTACCGGCGACCATGACCAGCCTCCAGCTCCCAGTGTTCGACGACACAAGAGATAAGTGGAAACCATACCTTGTTCGGGCTGAAGCGTATTTTGAGGCAAATGCCATTACTGACTCCAAAAGGCAGAGAGCACTTCTGGTGGCAGCACTCAGCACGCAGACTGTGCAAGTGCTAGCGGGGCTAATTGCACCTCGGACGCCAAATTCCCTTACTTACGCCGAAGCGTCGTGGCATTAAATGACTACTACGATCCTAAGCGTCACGAGATTGCAGAAAGCTACAAGTTTTTCACACGTTGCCAACAAGAAGGGGAGTCGGTGCACGCATTCCTAGTCGAAATACGGCGCATAGCAGACAATTGCAACTTCGGAAGTGCGCTGCACCGGATGTTGAGGGACAGGATTGTTTGCGGCGTACGCTCAACTAACTTGCGCAAGCAGTTACTGGCACATAAAGATTTAACCCTCGAAGAGGCTGAATCAATGTCCATTGCAGCCGAAGCAACCGACAGCGATGTAAAGATATGAGTGCAGAGCCGCCGACTGTGCTAAAAATGTAAGCCCATCATCGCTCGCCCTCTCGAGGTAATCACACACTAGGCGCGTCGCATGACTGCGGCCGATGTGGAAGCACGAAGCACGACGATAACGCCTGCCGCTGGGTTAACGCACGCTGCTATTACTGTGGCGGTGCGGTCATTTGGCAAAGAAATGCTACAGTGCTCCAACTGATGCAAAGGTGGAAAGGCGGGCAGCGAGTGTAAAGGCACTGACAGTTGAAAGCGCGTCTAGCAACGACGACTTGAATAGCGCACGAGTTGCAGGAGCTCACTGCCAAGGACTCGTTGTTAGCTCGTGTGGCGGAATACATCTTGCATGGCTGGCCTCGAACAACAAGGGGAATGGTGCCCGACTTGCTGCCCTTTTTTGATCGCAAAATGGAGCTGTCGATGGCTCACCGGCTAATCTATTGGGGAAACAGAGTCGTCATACCACGGAAGGCGCAGGAAAGAATGTTGAAGCTGCTACATGAAACACACCAAGGCTCCTCGTCAATGAAAGCGGTGGCACGGTCACTGTTTTGGTGGCCAGGGATGGACAGGGAGATTCAGGAATTGTCGGCGCAGTGTGTAAGCTGTGTAGAAAACCTGCCCATGCCTGCGGCAGCCCCACCGGTGAGTTCGCCGAAAACGGCCGAGAGGTGGTCCCGAATCCACATCAATATTGCGGGCCCAATAGCCGGCAAAATGATACTTGTGGTGGTAGATGCTCACACAAAGTGGATTGAAGCAATACCTATGATGCATGCGAACACAGCGGGTACTATTCGCTGCTTACGAAGTCTGTTTTGTCGGTTCGGAGTGCCACGCACAATCGTGTCCAATAATGGCACGCAGTTTACGAGCCAGGAGTTCGCCACGTTTATAGCAAGAAACAATATTGTGCACTTGCGTACAGCGCCTTTCCATCCTCAGTCGAATGGAGCAGCGGAAAGAGCAGTGCGAACCCTAAAGAATGGCTTGCGGAAAATGCAAGACGGCTCACTAGAAGATAACATCATGCGCCTGCTATTCCATTACAGGAGGACCCCGCAAAAGGAAGGAAAGTCACCCTCGGAGATGCTTCTCGGTTTCCAGCTGCGGTCCCGTCTTGACACCTGCCTGCCGCCCAGGGATGAGAACTGGTCGCCGGGTGCTGACGATTGCACCATCTCGCCAGGAAGCAGCGTCTACGCGCGCAACTACGGTGCCGGTAAAAGATGGACGCCTGGACGCGTAAAAGCTGCGTCGGGGGCGAGAATGATAGCAGTGGACACACCAAGAGGGTTAGTGCAGCGTCATATTGACCAAGTCCGCCGCCGCCGCGAATCGACGCCGGACGCTGCAACTGCGGGGACGACAGAAGGCGCGGACGCTGAAGCTGAACCTGCCAGCGTGACTACCCCTGTCCCGTCTCCTGCGAAGCCCAGAGCTACCGGCCGCGGATGGTCGGAGTGAGTTTTCCCCACCAACTGCTACGGAACCTCCAGTCGCTACGGATGATCCCTCGCCTGAGGTGGTCCCGCAGCAGCCAACGCTGAGGCGATCGACAAGAGTTAGGAACCCGGTACAACGGTTCCACTTTTAAGAGGAAAGAAATGTTGTATTTGTTTCGTTGTAACGCCAGCAAAACCAGCTGCGCGCGCACCATTTCGTTTGGGCCCTGTGCGCCTTCATTCTCCCTTTCCCCCTCCCTTCACCCTCTCCTAATGCCAATGTATAACCACGCTGCGGACAATAAACGCTGTTCGTTGACTGCCCGACCATCGTCCTTGCTGCTTCGCTGCGCGCGCCTAAGTTACAACACGTGTCAAGCTAAGTTTTGGAAGAGCAGTAATATAGGAAGGAGGCAACATGAGCTACTACACGAAAATGTTTGTTCAGAAAGGCAAATAGAAATAGCTACTAAAGAAATTGAGAAACTAATCACCGAGGACAACAAAACAGTGTGGACATACACGAATCTAATTAGACCGTTTGAGCTAGAGCTTGCTAAGGCTCGTGACAAATCACCCCGAAAAAGAAGACATAAACCCAAGAGTTGGTGGGATCAGGAAGATAAGAGAGCCATAGCAAAACGTCAGCAAGCCTCTAGGGAACACAGACATGCCAACCAGCGGGGTGAACCCACAGATGTTGGAAGAAAATGGGAATGTTGAAAGAAAATGCATCCCTTCCGATCAATGAAAAGATTAGAAGAAAGGAAGCTCAGTGGCTGGCAGAAGTACATGAAAAGATAGAAAGGCAGCTGCGAAATATTTGAACCATCTAAACTCTCTTTGAGACGAGCCTAGAGGAGAGATTTATAACAACAGCTCAAGGTGTTAGTATAGAAGGGGACGAAGCAATTTAATAGATAAGAACAAGGGTGACCAAAAAATTTCAACAAAGAAGTGCCTTATGCGCCACAATAGACAAGGATGGATCAAATGGCACAATGGCTCCAATTTCACGAGAGTGGGAAAGGGCTGAGAAGAGGGTTCCTAGTAATACATCAACAGGCCCAGATGGCATTCGAATTATGCCGATTAAGACACTAGGTCCGAAGTCTAAGCAGGCTTTGAAAGAGGCAGTGAGCAAAATAACAATCGATGGTGAAGTCCCCGATGGATGGAAACTTAGCAGGATGAGCATGATCTATAAAGGAAAGGGGAACAAAGATGATATAAACAACTACCGTCCTATAACAGTGACATCAGTGGTCTACAGGCTGGCGATGCAGATTATAAAGGAAAGACTGCAGGCATGGATAGAGGATGGGGGGGGGGGTGCTGGGGGAACTGCAGAATGGGTTTCGGAAACACAGGAGGTTGGAAGACAATCTGTTCTCACGGACGCAGTGGATCGATATAGCAGAAAAGAAACACAGGCCCCTGTAACTAGCATTTTTGGATATCAAGGGTGCGTACAATGGCGTGGTTCAAGAGGACTTGTGGGGAATACTGGACACACTAGGTGTGGAAGATGGAGACACTAATCTTTTAAAGGATATCTATAAAGGTAACAAGGATATTTTTTAGAGGATATCTATAAAGGTAACAAAAATATCTTTTAAAGGATATCTATAAAGGTAACAATAAAGGGGAAAAAACAGGTATCCAAGCCTGCAGAGGTAAAACGGGGGCTTAGGCAGGGGTGACCTCTGTCACCCTTGTTATTCATAATGTACCTACAAGGATTAGAGGCCAAATTAGAGGGAAGTGGACTGGGCTTCAACCTCTCTTTCGTAAAACAAGGAAAACTCATTGAACAGGCACTTCCAGCATTGGTGTACGCAGATGATATAGTGCTGATGGCCAACAAGGAAGATTTGCAGAGATTGATACACATTTGTGGAAATGAGGGAGATAGGTTAGATTTGAGATTCAGTAAGAAAAAATCATCAGTCATGATTTTAGTCATAATGAAGGTAGTGAGCTTAAAATACAGGAGGTCACGCTAAAGATAACAGATAAATACAAACTGGTGGCAGTGCTTCCCATGCTTTCAGTTGGCTCCACAGTGGTTGTAGTTAGGTCAGTTGACTTGACAGACGTCATAGACAGTTCAGTTGGCTGGTCAGACGTCGTAGGCAGCTCAGTTGGCTCAACAGATGTCGTAGGCAGTTGAGTTGGCTCCACAGATGGTGTAGGCAGTTCGTACGCGGGACACGTCGTCGCTAGTGGCCAGACGAGAGGAAGTCGGGAGGTCAATAACGGGTGAAAGGTCACCTGTGCTAGGGTCCGAGGCGGGCGGCAAGGTGGCCGTCATGGAGTCTGGTGGGGCCACGGTTGGTAGCACACGTTGCGACGCAGTGACAACCCCAAAGTCGCGGGCCCCTGGAAGCGGTTGGTACGTGAGGCCATTGCGGGCGAGCATTGAGGGCAGGCTCTGGCTCCGCGAACGCACGGCGCTGGGGCCCGTCGTAGACCACGAAACAGAGACAGGGACAGGGGCGGGGAGCGGGCACACCGAGTGTGGTCGGCTGGGCCGGGTAGGTGTGAGTGGAATGTGGCGAGGCACCCGGCATGCCATTGCTGGCACCAGTGGCAGGTGGCGGAGCGGCAGGGGGCACCGTCGAGGAGCTGACCAGCAGCTGCGGCGAGGAGGAGGCCGAGACGTCTGAGCTGGTGGTCGCGGGAAACGGCGAGGGCCACGGTGTCGCGTGCCGTCGCTTGCTCTGCGTGCGCTTGCGTGCGTACCTTGCTCTGCGAGGCCGGGAAACCTGCCTGGTGCGGGTAAACGGAAGCGGACGGTATGTGTTGCCGCTGCGGGCCAGCACCGCAGTGCAGAGGGCATCGTAAGGCTGCGGGCTGGTGCTTGAAGTGGCAGCAAGACGGCGCAACTCTACTGGAAGGGCGTCGAGAAGAATGGCGTGCATCTGCAGCTGGTTCGTGACGCCATTCAGCGCCAGAACGGCATCGAGCTGCATAAACCCACCTTAGGGTAGGTCGATTGGAACGGTGGCACTGGCGGGCAGAGTTGCGGGAACATGGCAGTGGGCCGTTCGGCGAAGGGCGTGTTCTCCGGGTCACCATTGTAGCGACGAGAGAAGAGGAGACGTGAGACGGCATCGAAGGCGGCCGATGGGGCCGTGCCGATCTCGCCACTTTATTGCAGGCCTGAAGCGGTACCACGTCGGCTACCAGCGTCCGCCACGCCAGGCATGTCAGCTCGTTCTAATTCTCGCGCAGCTCGAGCTCGCGCCAGCTGCGCGAGAGACGCGGCGCGGTGATGGAAAAAATGACGATGGTGATGATGGCACTACAAGTTATATTCAATCTCATCTAAATGCCTATTCATGTAATAAATTCGGTAATTTATATGAAAATTCCAAAAGAGTATATTTTTGAAATATTTGGGAAAAGAATTATTCTCATAGAAAGTGTGAGCAAAGACCTTTTTTTTCAGTTTTTCGGCTACCATTATCATGCGCAACTCAATGTGTAAGAACCAATTGCGGACACCGAAAATTATCAACTCAGGCTTAAAGGGTTAATCAGTTTGTGAAGTACCCGGCTAGTATACGTGCCTGTAAGGAAACACGCGTACCAACACTGCTGCATGCTTGTGGACGCTAATGCTGCCGTTGCTGATTATTCATGCTTTTCTACGCGTGGACCGTCAAACTGTGCAATCATCGCCAAATTAACGTGGTGGCAGTTGGTACGATTCTAAGCTTCTGGGACGAAACTTGCGTGTGAAAGTGGTGCCCCGCACTGCACGACGCTAGTATATAGATGAAAAGAGCGGAGCTCTTTAGGCTTGTCGTTACGCCGTATATAGTGTGAACAGGAATCATGACAATGGGATGATGACGAAGACCTATATGTATGGCTCTCACCCATTCTGGGGTATTGGCCAGGAACGAATCAGATAGAAGTAAGAATCATTAATATGCGTGTGTGCGCTCCTTCGGCCCCTTTGACTTGTGTTTCGTTCCTAGAACACGCGCGCTCGGCTGCTGACGAGAAGGTCGCGGGTTCGATTCCTGCCGAGGTGGTGGCCTTTCGATGGAGGCAAAAAAGTAGAGGCCCGTGCATTGTGTGACATCAGTGAACGTTAAAGAACTCCAGACGGTCAAAATTTCCGGAGCCCTCCACTACGGCGTCTCTCAAATGTCAAGGTCTCGGGACGCGACACTCCGCATATTAATTATGAACTACTTAGAATATTTGTGCAGATTTTTACGTCGTGGAGAGTCTGTTACGAGAGTGAAAATTTCGCATCATCGCGTGACAATTAGTCACGGAACTGCAATCAGATAACGTGACGTAACCATTCGACACGACACAAACAATAACCAACATCTTGCAATAAGTAGTCACATTTCTCGGAACTAGGTAACAAAGCTAACGTAAGCAGTCACGTGAGTAGAATCGTGTAACACGACGCAACTACTCCTTCGACTTAAATCACGTAACACTTAACAGCACACTAAATCACGCAACACCGCTCACAGCTCACATGACATGTTCGCGCAAGAAATAATGCGACCGTGATAAAGATGATGATGGTTGATGTTTTGTGGCGCAAGGACCATTTGGTGGCCAAAGAGCGCCAGTTAATCTTACTAGGAATATGGACAATGGTTGTGATAAGTGGCTGTATAAGGGCCATAAAATTCCTCGCGCTAAGGCGGGTAAAACATCGAAGTAATAAAATCATGACCATGCCGTGAAAGGTGTGTGGTGTTAATGGATGACAAAAGTTGGTGGTAATAAAAACGATGGTGGACATGTGTAACACTAGCACAAGTGCCTCAATCATTCACACCCTTGCGTCGAAGGGCCGTGAGGAAAGTGCGTTGTTGAGGAACTGGTATCGATGTATTGATAGTTGTTTTGTTGGCGGATCCAGCTAGCTGGTCCACCAGGACGTTGCCTTGTATTTCGCGGTGCCCTGGCACCCAGCAGACTACAACATGCTGCTTAGATGAGTACACTGTGCATCAGAGTGAATAAAGTGAGACGAGGACA